ACCACACACACACACACACACACAAAATATATAAAAACCCCCACCCCAAAAACATCCAAACCCCCACCACCCCGCCGCATCCCCTCTTCCTCATACCATGACCGTGACCACGCAGCCAGAGATGAAGAGAGGTCTCGAGATGGGGGGGAAGGAAAGAAAGAAAACGAAAAGAGGGAAAGGAAAAAAGGAGGGCACAAAAGGGAAAAAGGGCACAAAAGGGAAAAAATGAGGGCACAAAAGGGAAAAATAGAGGGAAATATACACACATATACACACACACATATAAAAGATCAGACTCAAATTCAAACTCAAACCCAAATTCAAACCCAAACCCAAACCCAAACTCAGATACGGATAAAAGATCAAGGCCAAGACCAAGACCAAGGCCACGAACGAGAGGGCGAGGGCGAGGGCCGAGGGCGAGGGCGAGGGAGCTGCTGCTGCTGCTGCTGCTAATTTGCAAGTATGTATGCAACCCGACCGACACCCTTCTCTTCTTCTTTCCTCTCCCGCTTTCACTCTCGTTCACTCTCGTTCACTCCCGCGTTCACTCCCGCGTTCACTTTGAGGGGTATGACGCAGCTGTGAGCTGCTAAGTGCAAGTGCAAGTGCAGTAATCAAGTGGAAGGGCAGGTGCAAGTGGAAGTGCAGGTGCAGGTGCATGTGGAAGTGCAATAATCAAGTGGAAGTGCAAGTGCAAGTACAAGTATAATGAAAATCTCAGCCGCGAAATATATATATATATATATATAAGAAAAAAACAGCCTGGACACATACGTATCTTATATTCTTCACCCCTTTTGATGTCGTGGATGTCTTTGATTTCGTTGATTTCGTTGATTTCTTTAATTTCTTTGTATTTTTTGGTATTCGTAAGTGGCGACGGCTTGGTACTTTGGTAAGTACTCCTTTACTTGTATACACACACACACACACACACACACATACACACACACACACAAGCTTATTGAGACCGTACATACGATCATAAATTATACCCATCCTCCCCCCCCCCCCCCCTTCCTCCATTTCCATCTCCAGCTCGAGCTTTTCGTGCGACATCTTTCACAACGATCCAAGCAAAGCAGATATCCCAACTGCGAAACGAGCGAGCGCCGGTCCCAGGACTCTCTCGTCCAGCCGTCTTCTACTTGCACATGGAGGTGTCGAAGCCATCTATGGGATACTGCCGCCTGGTCATGCCCATCTGGTGTCTCCCCGCGATTGGGTGTCGTTGCAGGCGCTGCTGCTGCTGCTGCTGCTGTTGGTTAGCCAGATGGTTCTGTTGCTGCGGTTGTGATCTGGACACGACCATGATCTCGAAGGCGTCCAGGCGGGACTTCAGCGACGCGTTGTCTTTCGCGAGGTGCTTGTTGCGTCTTTCGAGGTGGGTGATGTACTCTGTCGCTTTGGAGAGGACCGTGGCCTTTTTTCTGGTTGTTAGCCGAAGTTCGCTTCCCGAAAGAGAGGATGCAAGTAAGGAGGGGGCAGGAGAGGGGAGAGGAGGAGGTGGCGCACCTTGTTCAATTTATGAGCGGGCGTCAGGCCTTGCAGGTCCTCCTGCAAGTCCTCACGGCGCGAGTCCTTCTTACTCATCACCCGCAACGAAGGCACAGAGTCCCGCAGCGCGGCGATCTTTTCGTTGAGGTTCGTACGGTAGCGCTTCTCGATCATATTGTGCGCCATCTTCTTCATGGGCGGGTGGCAACCATCGGCAGCGGGCTCGGGGCTCTCACCGTCCTCGTCTTTTTCGACGCTGGAATTTCTCTTGCGACTTCCGGCGTGGGAGGGTGAGGAGGGTGAGGAGGGCGGGGAGGCGGAACATCGGGCTTTGGGAGACATCATGGCGATGCTGCAGACCTTGGACTCTCCGTGAGGTGGGAGGCGGCCGTCTTCTTCTTGGCTTGGTCTAGTACTCCCTGCGGCTGGGTCTTTCCATGAGGGTGGTGTTAGATAGGGACCTTCGCGGGCAGGTGTATCATTTCGAGCATTTGGAGTCGGGAAGAGTAGCTGCTCTTCGACCATTGAGTCTTTGATGAAGATAGCCGAGTCGTCTGCTACGGCTGATCCCTCCTCGGTTGCATTGCCGTGCCCGCTCTCTGGAAACTCGAGGCCCGACATGGTGGGGGACACAGGCTCTGTCTTAAAATCCGGGAAGTATAATGTTGGTGATAGGGCTACGTCACTAGAATCGTCCCAGCGCATCCAGTCTTCAAAGGTACCAAAGTTAGAGGCTTGTTCAGACTTGACGTCTGGATTCTTTGGCGGAGTGTAACCAGCTGGTGCGAAGGCTGGAGGCACTGGTGAGGTTGGAGACGGCAAGGTGGAGTTGCACGAGTCTGATGTTTGTTCTGAGTCGTTATAAGAGCTGCTCTCCTTGCCGTATGATCCTATCCAGCTCTGTGTTGAAAGAATATCAGTTTATGTTGCGATCAGGTGAGGGTGATGGGGTGAAGGCCCGGGGCCCCCACGACGACTCGTCAGGCTTTTGTAGGCCAACGACAAGACTCACGGTAGGGCGATGATGGCTATCAAGCCAGGAGGGAGACTTTGAACGTACTAGAGACCTCTTCTCTGTCGAGAAGTAGTCAACGCTGGACGCTTGCATTTGTTTCATAGCAGTGCGAGCGGCCATCTGACTGACTTGGGAAGCCAACCTGAAAGAATGGTCCTATTAATCTTGGTCGAGGGTGCAGCCGGTATTGTATGTAGCTGGATCTATCGAAGGTCCGGTTGGATATCGAGATAGAGCCGAGTGGGGGTATCAACCAGTCGATGAATGCGGGAGTGGTAAAAGTTGTCGACGAGGAGGATTATCAATATGATGAGCTTGAAGCTTTGATTATCAATTGCAAGTGGAAAATGCCCATCGGCATGCCTGGGCCTTCGTAATCCCTCTGCAGTATGGAAAGCGCGTGATCGTACGAGATGGGTGGAACGATGCATATATGTAACTAGGGAGGAGGCTCTGCCTGCAATAAATATTGCACTTGACCATCGGCCAGGTGGCATCCAGCAGATCAATCCGAGACTCGAATGTTCGAGGATCGAGGATCGAGGATCGAGGTTCGAGGTTCGAGGTTCGAGGTTCGAGGTTCGAGGCTCTTGAATCCCCATCACGGGCTTGACACAACCTCAACTGTTTGCCTTCCTACGGTATGCCTGGGCTGTTGGCCGTTGGTTGTTGGCTGGAGACAGCGGCAGCAAGAGGGCAGCTAGCCATTGGGCATTGCATTGGGCATTGCCTTGGGTATTGCATTGGCCAATTGCTGAAGCCCACGGCACTGGGAGGTGGTCTGATCTCGTCTCACGCACACACGCTCTCTCTCTCTCTCTCTCTCTCTCTCTCTCTCTCTCACGACCAAGCGAGAATGTACATACCATCAATCCCAAGTCAACAATTACTCGCAGCCTGTCGCCTCTCGCACGCGCTCCCCACATCCGCCCGGGGTTTTGGAATAGCAAGAAGACATATACATATACATATACAGATACATATACATAAATATAATTTCCAATACATAACGAAAGCAAACCCTCTCATCACGACCGCCCATCCCCCACGTGGACCCGGTCCGCCACCATCACGCCACCCCAAAGCAGCCCACGAACGAGAACGGACGCTCCTTTCAGACTCACCTTACTTACTTACCCTTACCCTTACCCTTACCCTTACCCTCCTTACCCTTACCAGTCTCCTTGCTACACGACAGCATTCTCAAGCCTGCATATCAAGGCATCTATACATACAACTTACGTACCTTATTCACCTGTTTGTCTGCTCGCTTCATCAAATAATATATACATAGGCGCCCATACATACATCCGTCCACTGTAACAAAATAG